CCATTCTTGACCTCGGCACTAGATGAAGGACAATGTAAACTTCATGCCCTGGCCGCTTTACCCCGGAGGAAAGAGCCTCTGCTACATAAGACATAAAAGGCTAGGCGCGCCCCAGAGACAGTCTGGACGCTGTGAAATAAAGAAAAGTCTTTTGCCTCTGCTGGGAATCGAACTCAAGCTGTCCAGCCAGTAGCCTTTCACTATACCAGCTGAACTATCCCAGCTCTCAGTGTTAAGGTGCTGAACGACATTTCGACAAATGAACTCGAGGGTGCAGCTTCGGCGTTTGCATAACCATCACAAAATATTTGCCCCTTATTCCATAATGCAGTAGAGTATTTACTGAATTGTCACACCTTAAGTAATTAATTTCTCGTTATACCTCGCGTAATATTTCTTTCAATTTTTCAGTGAACTACAACTTTAAAACTGTAGGTAAATTGCTACATTTTATAGTTGAAGTATGCTTACCCAAAGATTTAGTTCGAACATTTAGAATGGATATATGAAATTGAAGATAATTTCAACTATCACCGGTTCTACTAGCGCCATTTGTCACCCACATCAGCAAGCTGGAAAACAATACCTTGTTCTCCACGGCATACAGAGCCTTTACTGCACATCTAAAATTATTTATTTAACAGTTCGAACCTCGAGCTATTTATATGTCTGATTTCAAAGAACTGAAATGTTTCACAGTTCTTAACTTCCTCTGAACAACAGTATTCACAATGAAAAGAAACTGAATACACATCTGAAGCAACCCTCGAAAAATTAATAAGTATTGACCCGCTTCGCTAATTCGTGAAAGAAGTTGCCGGCTCCACATGGAGCTAGCAATATTGTCACGTGTTAGTGACTAGACAAAGGGGTTGGATTCACTGTTGAATTTATTAAATACTTATTACTCGTAAATACAAATAATTATGACTCTCTCATTAATTTAGGAAATACTCAAGTAACTGTAGCTGTAAAAACTCCCGTCTTTTCACCAGTCGTTGCTTGGTAGTGGGTAAAGAATACCGTGGCCTCTCTCAGTCTTTATTGGAAGTGTTAATTGCGGAATACATATTTGAACTGTACATTGGGTCATTGTCAGGTGTTATGCATCTCCTTCCATCACTTCCCTTTGCAATCGACACATCACTTCAGTGTGGCCCACACTCCCCGCTCTACAGACTCTTCCTTGACAGCCTTCAATTTTGTTGGCTACAGATCCAGAGGTCCGAGTTCGATTCTCGGCGCTACCAGATCTTTTCGGAGAAGTAGTGGGTCTGGAACGGGGTCCACTCAGCCTCGTGATGATAACTGAGGAGCTATTTCAAGGAAATAGCGGCTCCGGTCTAGAAAACCGAAATTAACGGCCGTGGGGATTCGTTGCTATGACCACGCGACACCCTCTATCGGCAAAATGATGGCACTAAAACTTCGCCGACAAGCGGCGGTCGCTCGGTCGGTATAGTTCACTTGCGGACTGAAATCACGGAGTTTCTCTGTATACAGGGATGGCCAACCAGTCCTGCCCAAGGTGATCCATTCATCTTCACTCATGTCATCATTTCTTCCCTTCTTCCTTCGAAATGAACTCTTGTGTCTTGCGGATTAGACGAAGAAGAAGGTGAAGAATTTAATAGTAAATGCTGATCTAAGGTCTCTCTCTCTCTCTCTGCTTCCTTCTGGATCTGATTCATATTCTTGAGGTGCGAATAATTTCTTCTAGGAATTCACTTTGGAGAAAACTGCCTAATGAGGAACGTCATAACGTATACTCTTCTCCATATCAAGGAGGATGAGGTAGACAGGACATGTTGCACGAATGGGGATAAGAGGAATACATATAAGATATTGGTGGGAAAGCCAAAAGGAAGGGAACCACTGGGAAGACCAAGGCGTTGGTGGATTTACAATACTGAAATGGATGTTAGAGATATAAGATGGGATGGGATTGGATTGATCTGGCTCGGGATAGGGACCAGTAGAGGGCTCTTTTCAACACGGTAATAAACTATAGAGTTCAATAAAATAAAGTATGGCGCTTCGTAAAAAGCTATTCCTGTAACACGCTGTGGAGACCCACGGGGTTGTGAGACGTTGAGGCTCCCACATTTTCTCTAGACAACCGGCCACCCTTTAACCCCCAGGAAGATTCCTGGTACTCATTTCTGTTACAGGATGAGTCGACCCCAAGTCCACAATGCGCATGGAAGGATTGGGTCAAGTGAAAAAAAATTCACCTCATCGGGATTCGAATCAGCGACCTTCCGGCTTTGAGCACAGTGCCTCAACCAACTACGCTACCGCGTGTCCCCTGTTTACAATGGTCTGGAAAAAAGGAGATGCATTATCGCCACTCCTTTTCAACTATGCTTTAGAATATGCCATTTGGAAGGTCCAGANTGGCTCGGGATAGGGACCAGTAGAGGGCTCTTTTCAACACGGTAATGAACTATCGGGTTCAATAAAATAAAGTATGGCGCTTCGTAAAAAGCTATTCCTGTAACACGCTGTGGAGACCCACGGGGTTGTGAGACGTTGAGGCTCCCACATTTTCTCTAGACAACCGGCCACCCTTTAACCCCCAGGAAGATTCCTGGTACTCATTTCTGTTACAGGATTAGTCGACCCCAAGTCCACAATGCGCATGGAAGGATTGGGTCAAGTGAAAAAAAATTCACCTCATTGGGATTCGAATCAGCGACCTTCCGGCTTTTAGCACAGTGCCTCAACCAACTACGCTACCGCGTGTCCCCTGTTTACAATGGTCTGGAAAAAAGGAGATGCATTATCGCCACTCCTTTTCAACTTTGCTTTAGAATATGTCATTTGGAAGGTCCAGGGTAACCAGGTGGGACTGAAAGTAAACGGGACACATCAGCTGTTGGTCTATGCTAATGATGTGAATCTACTGGATGATAATGTAGGTACCATAAAGAAAAACACACAAACCTTTAATTGACACTAGTAAAGAGGTTGGTCTAGAAGTAAACGCAGAGAAAACTAAGTACATGTTGCTGTCTCGTCACCAAAATACAGGGCAAAATCATGACATAAAGATAGATAACAGATGTTTTGAAAATGTGGCACAGTTCAGATATTTGGGAAAGCCGATAACAAATCAAAACCTGATTCAGGAGGAAATTAAAAGGCAGTTGAACTCGGTTAATGCTTACTACCATCCAGTTCAGAACAGTTTTTCCTCGTCTGCTGTTTAAAAGCATAACAATGAGAATATAAAATACTATAATTTTGCCTGTGGTTCTGTGTGGGTGTGAAACTTGGTCTCTGACATTAAAGGGAAACATTGACTTATGGTGTAAGATTTGAGGTTTTTACGGCGGTGACTATGAAGAAAGCAGTCTTTTGGGATGTGGCACCGTGTAGGTGTGGTGTTAACCGACATTTCGGAAGAACGTATCGTCTCCACCTGAAGATGACGATACGTTCCTCCGAAACGTCTGTTAACACCACAACTACACGGTGCCACATCCCAGAATACTATTTTCATCATAGACTTAAGGTGTTTGAGAACAGGGTGTTGAGGAGAATATTTGGACCAAAGAGAGATAACCACGTTAAATGGCAATTTCGTATTGGCACAATTGATGGTTTCCTTGTGCATTTTTTCGAGTCATTTAGGTGCTAATGATGTACAGTGGCGGAAATAATGAAACCCACATTTGTTAACTCTAATAAGCACACTAACAACCTACTTGCCTTTTATCACGAAATCGGCGAAAACTTTTTCTAGGGAATGCATGTCAAGGTAAGACAGTGACGAAATAAACGCTGTAGTATATTGGTAATATTTTGTTCTTCTGTGATTAGATATTCTACTCGAATATCGGCCATTATGGCTGAGGTTTTTGATAATATTTCTAATCGCTTCAAAAGAAAAAAATATTTCAAACGATATCGTAGTTATTCAGCACGAATATTTTTCATCCTAATTTGTTACATGGCATTTTTCCTTCCCTCCAATCTACTGACACGTCACTGTCACTACCGTTTGCCTTCAGTATTTCAACTCCAGCATAGAAAATACTTATCTCGCTTTTCACGGAACATCTTTGAAATACCCACGAACCAATCAACCCCAGACGACGCTGTTATATCAGAATAAACCCTTTCATCAATTCCGCTGTTGTCTCTTACACTTTACTTCCCCCAGCAACATTGGTAGCTGGTATTCGTCATGAAATTTCGCTTACGCGGTGTTGAAAATCACCTGAATATTTTCCTCAGAAACCTAACTACTGGAATAGTGTCAATGTAATACTGAATGCTGGTTACTTGCGTTGTAGCTTTGCGTAAGTAATGCGAATGCGTAAATAATAAATACATTATGAAGCTTTCGCCTTGTTAAGTACTGCTGCAAATATTCGATTATATTTCCTCTTCCAGTCTTAGAGATTTAATTATTGATGAGTTAAACTTCATTTTCACCCTTCGACGACTCCTGCATAAGATGAGTCTACGTCTATATCTTATTTATTTCCTGTGTTATTAAACGACGATTTATCCCCTAAATAAAATATAGATTGAAGAATGCCATCTTCTGTGATGTGGCGTCGTGTAGATCTCGTGTGAACCGACGTTTCGGAGAAATGTCGATTCACACAATATCTACACGGCGCCACACCCCAGAAGACGATATTCTTTATTGTCACCCCTGTGACTACAATTTATTAGCCTGGAAGGATGCGAAAGGAAGCTGTCGTTGTCCCTTTCGGCATTATCCCAGCAATTTTGCTTGCATGGCCTAGGTAAACCATAAAAATTCTCAGTAAAGTCGGACTCCGAAGCGAAAATCGAGAAGAGAAACTTGAAAATTATAAGAGTTAATCATTCAGCCTCTAGTTTCGATATGACCGAAATGTAGTACGTATTTCAGCATCATCTTGCACTATTCTCTCTCGCGTATTCTCCTCCCTCTCCCGTGTAACCTACACCAAAAATTTTAAAATTCAGAATTTAATTTTTAAAACTCTTAACTCTTTCAGATTGTTTGTCTTCAGTCGCCATATTTCGCACAACATGTTTCGGCCTAAAGGACTTTCATCAGGTACGTTAAAATCGGTTTGGCGAAATTGCTGCACTTTACATACTGTCGTAACGCTTTTTCGGATTTAATGATTTATTTAAAATTCTGAAATATTACCTTTCCTTACGCTGTGTGTATTGTTGTTTGGCGTTTGGTTTCTTGTGTGTGCAGTGTGTATTTGCATCTGTTGTGTTTTGTGTAGTTGTGTTTAAAGAAGCACCGGCTGTGAAGACGTACAAGAAGAGGATATATATCCCCACGTATTCTTAGCCTCGGAACTAGATGGAAGTGAATGGTCAACTTCGTGCCCCGGAAGTTTTACCTCCGGCAGAGGTGTCCCTGGTAGCCTCTGGGTAGGAGGCTGAATCAGCCCAGGGCCGGTTCAGCCGCTGTGGTAAGGTAAAACTAAAGTTGTCCCCGTGTTTACTTCATTAAGCACCACGCCATGAAGTCGTACAGGATATCTCCTCCATTCTTGATCTCGGCAGACTGAGGTGAGTTGTCAGCTTCAAGCCCCGGTCGCTTTAATCCTGGGGAGAGAGCCCAAGGTACCCATTGCAGAGGAAGTTGGGTGGGAGCCAGAGCGTGTATGGACGATATGGAGAAGATAAAAATCTCTTGACCCTGCCGGGAATCGAACCACGGCCGTCCAGCCCATAGACAGTCACCATACCGACTGAGCTATCCCGGCTTTTAGCTGTTGTGGAGGAGAAAAATGTCTCTGCACATGCTGGAAACTAAACCCCGAGTCTCCAGTTCTCCAGGCCGTTGGGTTGTTGAAATCCTTTAGGCATTGCCTTGTTGGCGTCTGTAAAATAACATTCAGCGATGTTTAATTTATGCTGTGCTGTCTTATCGATTAAATTCATATACACTAGGAAGATAAAACAACGCATGTAAACACAACGGGAAAGATAGAGCAAGCAATATAAAAAAATCGGTAATGCTAGTTAGGAGGAAAGGACACGGCATGTGTCGTCACGTAAGTCTGAGAATGACTAGTGAATGAGATAGCTCTTTTCTAAACGCTGTTTCTCTTCACGTGTCGAATTCATAGCCATAATTTTCATGACGTAAGTATTGACGAAATCTCTTAGCGACGTAACCTCGGCAGATGTTCACAATTTAATAATTGTATGTGAGGTAAGAGTGAGATCATGCGTAAGTCTTATTTTCTTATATCTAATTTTATGTTATTCCTACGTGTCAGGGACATCTGCTTTTAAAAGTTATAGTTATTTCAAGGTTATATTAGAGTTTTGTTTTTACGAAGAAGATACATGGAAATTTCAGGCTGGCTGTTTGCGATTGTACTCTTTACGCTCAAAGAAGTGTTGGGATTCGTGTCTGGTTCTTGGTCGGCTCAAAAAAGATGTTACCTGATCTGGATGCTTAGTGTATGGGACCGATGGGATTATGAACAAATGACTACCTCATATACACGTATTTATTTGCATTCTTTTACCGTCTCATATTCATCAATTCTTAAATTTAAAGTATTATATTGTATTGCTTATTCAACATTTGTTTTATTTTCTACATTTAAATCATTTGCACGTTTTAATATTTATTTTATTCTATATATTTCTTTATTTTTGTCTTATTTATTCTTTACATTATTGACCTTTCTACACGAAGCTTTATTCGCTTCTTTGTTGATGTTTCTTTTTTTCTTTTTAACTCTCTAGGTACTATGGCGTATTTGTTCCATGCAAGAACTGCTGAGCCATAGAAATAGTCGTTGCTAAGTAATACACGCACGCAACAATAAAACAACGGGGTTATACAACCAGTTTCTAGGCAACGGCTTGGTAAACACGCTTCCGCATAGGCAGTGACGTCACACAATACAACAACAGTGTTTTCTTGGTGTCCATGCATCTTGTGCCTGCTCGATGACACAGCAATAGATGATCTGTGTTTTCTGTGTGGTCCGTGTGAAGCCTATATAACGAAGACCTGTTGTAGCTTAGATTAGTTCAATCAAGAGAACGGGAATAAAACGGCACGCAGCAGTTCAGTTGTAGTTAAAGAGGAATTAGAAGCCGGCCTGTGAAGACTTAGTGTGTGATCAGAAGATTTAGTCACAGTGAGACTGTTTTACTTCCGTTACCGGGAAACGACTAGTGAAGACTGAGAATATATCCTATAACCATTACGACTTCCTATTATGGTCAGTGGTTATGAACCGGCCGTCGAAATAAAACTGTCCCGGGATACAACCCCTTCCACTTCATCTATCCACCGACACCTTTAATCCTGTAGATACTATTAGTTATTTGTGAAACGTGACAGCAGGACAAAAGAGTTATATCTTTGTTCCTCCCTTTTTTACTTTTTGTATTTGAACCATTTTAATTTCGTGATTTTATAGGATTGTAGTTCTGGGATGGCCTAAGAGTGAGTTCACTTTTGCTCTTAGTCATTACTGTTTATATAACCGGGTACGATTATTATTGTTATAACAGAAATGAAAGTTTTACATTATTAACAACAGTATGCGGAGTATAGTGAATACGAGTATACCAAATGCCAGATGAAAAGAGGCCACTGGGAAGGCCAAGACGTAGTTGGGTGGATAATGTTAAAATGGATCTTACGTAGATACGATGGGATGGTATGGGTTTGATTGATCTGGCTCAGGATAGGGAACAGTGGAGGGATCTTTTGAACACGATAATGAACCTTCCGGTTCCATTAAATTCTGGGGAATTCTTCAGTAGCTGCATAATTGGCGGCTTCTCAAGAAGAGCTCAACCCGATGAGTGAGTGAATACACCATCCCTGTACCGATTATCACTGGAATTGAAATTATTGTTTCTATATGAACAAGGAGTATCGATATATCTGAACGCAGTTTTATCCGAGATGTGTGGTCGTACATGTTTCAACTTTATACGTCATGTCCTAAAGTCAGAAAACTTACATCGTTAGCAGCATATTGGAATGGAGTCCTTCAGAATACTCCGTAGCCTCAAATGACGCAAATTCTGCACTCTCATAGTTCATGTACGAGTTACAGGTGTCATTCGAGGCCGCGCCATAGCTCAAGCTGTTAGTCGCTGACTTCCCACCGCGGCGGCCCATGTTCGATCCCGGGTCTGGTCAAGTGGGATTTGTAGTGGACAAAGTGGTGCTGGGGCAGGTTTTCTCCGAGTACTTCGGTTTCCCCTGCCAATCTTCATTCCACCAATTGCTCCACAATCACCCTCACCTATCATCTGGGGCTGGTGTACAGTACTGCTGGTGTCCGCAGTACAAGGGACGTAGTCCCACCCCACTAGCAATAATTCAATTCAATTCAATTCATGTTTATTTACGTGCAATAACTTAACAGCACAGTGGCCAATTACAAAGTTAGCACGAGTATATAAGGTACAGAAAATAATTAAAACAAAATACAAATATGACAAATAAATCTGTGAACATAGATCTAAAGAAGACTGAAATATATACATTTATGAAATATTACGAATGTTGCTAATACTGTTAGTAACTAAATACTAAGATAAGACCCCTGGGAGTGATAGCACAAAATTAATAACAAGTCAATAAATTAAAACCAATTACATAAGAAAATTAAAGTTAGCCGAGGTATACACATTTGTAGTGAATGAAAACACTAATCAAGTAACACCGTAAGGTTTGGTACATGCTTGTAAAATATGATTCAGAGAAACCGCTCCGTCTGCAAATATGTCGAGATCTTTACCCACCACGTTGGTAGCAAGGGCGCATCGAGAAATAATAATAATAATCGAAGTGTCATGGTGCCTACATTCTGTAATTTGAAATGCATCTCAGAAAGCGTTACTACATTCATGACATCTATTGCATTTTTATTTGCTCTACATTGCAGTACTAGTGCCAAAATGGAAGCTGCCGTCGGAACTGCAACAATTTGTGGTCAGGAGTCTCGACTTGTCAGTGTTATCTTGCAGTAGCCTAATTCTTGTTTCTTTTCAAATATTCTACAAAACCTTCTTCAGGAGACTCTTCTTGAACCGACTCCATATGGTTAGTGCTGATGGTTTATTTACAAGGTATGAAGTTGGGGAGCGGTCTCAAGTCTTGTGAAAAATGGTCTGTACCCATATAATATTGATACCTGTAGTTAAAACCGGGAACAAACAGATACATGCACATCACCGTGGCTCTGAGGAAGGAATTCTATTCCTTCTGAATCATAAATTTTGTTACTAAAAATAACCAGCCTCTTTATTCGATTTCGCAGTGAGTTGATTTCATTGAAGGTGCTGTAAATAAGAGGGAACAACTGTTGCCACATGTAGGTTTCTAATAGCATGTTATTTCACTGTGCTGCACCAAATGTAGAGGTTATTTGCAGTAAATACGATGATGGGAGTGAGTGGCAATTGAAGACGCATGTCAACCCCAATTCACTTTCATGCAGAATGTTATTTTCTGTTTGTATAACAAATTTTGATATTTTTAATTGAATCGTTGGATATTTCATTCATCAGTCAAATAATAGTGATAAATATGGAACTAACAACTATAAAATTACATTACTATTATTTTATAAGCTACACATATAAAATAAATAATGGATAATTAATTATGTTATTTTCCTACGTATATACTTATGGACCCGCATTAGCTCGGTAGATATAGCACAGACTACGATTTGGACTGTTAGATACAAGGGCCCTATTCCATTCAGGAGCAATAGACCTCTCATTTTCACATAATCTAGACCGGCTGTGAAATTTACTCAACCACCTCTCCAGTTAGTTCCGGAGGACCTTTCCCTAGGGTAAAGAAGCCGCGGCGTGAAGCTAACCACTCGCCACCATTTAGTGCTGGAGTTAAGAACACGCGAATCTGTTCCTCGTCTTCCCCATTTATTTTCATAGAGTGATGTGCAATTAATTACGGGCAAAGAGGACATTACCTTTCTAACTTCAGGCATACTGTTTCCCTTGGCACTACAGCCCCAGCGGGTCTAGGCCTACCTCCATGAACTTCTCCGTTCACTTCGGTTTTTCTAGATCTTACACATTCGGTAGGACTCATTGGGCGGGTGATCAGCTCGTCACAAAGCCTCTACCTGTACACAAACACAGAAAAACGCACACACACCAACTAAACATCCATGCCCTGAGTGGGATTCGAACCCACGATCCCGGTTTCCTAGCGAGCGAAGACAGTACACGCCTTAGACCGCTCGGCTACCGTGACCGCCACTTCACGCATATACATGATGTTAATTATACGTTTTTATAATGGTGACATGATCTTAAATTGCTTAAACGTATGTTCTTAAGCAAATTTTATGACTGCCACCTCCCCTTCTTCGAAAGCTGGCTGCCTCGCCGCACCGAAGTCATAAATGGAGACGTGTCTTTTATTCGATGGCTCATTATACTCGGGTAAACACTATATACAAACCCCCACCCACCAAAAAGAAATTATTTTGAATTTTTCGCTGAAAGTAAAGGAAGACATTGTAATGTTCCTCGGGCTACAAGAAGGGATACCAAGCAGATTCGAGTGTTTGTATGTCTGCGTTGAATTAAACGAGCCGTCAACGTCCTTTTATGAGCTTGTGGTAGTAAGTTTGAAGTGCAGGATATATGCATGAAATATCCTTACCAGTTTTACTGCAATATAGCTCATGAACAGAATGGGAAGGGATTGAGAACTAAACGCATTCAAGGAAGTTGCATGATCAGATTCATGTACAGCTTGAGTTCCCAAATATTTCCACCTGAATCCTGAACACTAACAGCTGCAACATTAGCGCCTCATGTGGAAATATTTATATGCATGTCTGGTTTCACGAGCCTGGGTCTGAGGTTACACTCCAAAGAAGATGTACCGTGTTTGGAAGGGAGCCAACAATAAAAGTGTCGCTGTACAAGTGCTTTAAGTAGTTTGATCAGACTAGCTGCATTCGTAAAAGGAAAAAATCAAGGAGACCGAATTTCAGGCGGATGAAATTCTAGCGCCTTTCGTTCGCAGCCCAAACAAATCAGAGGGGCCTTCTCTCCGACAGATACACATGTCACATGCAATAGTGCAAAATATTCTGCGGAAAAGTTTGAAATTGAGAAGTTATATTTAAGAACTCTTGCAACATGCAACTGCCCGGCATAAAAATCTCGCTGCTTGTTTTGCTGTGATTCTCAAGACTGGAAGTAAAAATTTTCACAGTTAAAATTGTCTTCAGTGACGAAGTAGCATTCCATTTATGGCGAAATATATATTGGCATAACGCAGTGGTTCTCAAACTTTTTACCTCTGAGTCCCCCCCCCCTGAGAAGAGAAAATACTCTCAGGCCCCTAGCCTGTTTTTTTTAATCAAAATAGAAGTCATTGTATGTTTAACGTTTCATTCAGTTTATTTTGTGTTTTTCTACATATTATTTAGCAGTTTTCTTACTTCAAATTAAAGTATCACAATACTAGGCCTACAATAAAAATTAGTTTTAACACTTGCAATTAACCAAAATATGTATTGAAATGAAACGATATTTAACTAACAAGTACAATATTTATTTTTTTCTGCCAAGAGAATCAAGCATTTAAATGTCAAAGTTCAGTGTAATGGATGGGCCTGCTTTTGAGAACAAAGTTTATCAAAACGTGGTGTAATATCAGAAATGGCCACTCTAACTTCTTTAGCAATATTTAGCCTTGAACGATACTTTGACTTTATAGCTGCCAAAGCAGAAAAGCCTGTCTCGCATAAGTAAGTTGTTGCGAAAGGAATCAGGATCTTCAATGCTTTTTGGCTCAAAGTTTGGAATTCCTTGCCAATATATATCCAGAACTCCAGCAAAGACAATTCCTTAAATTTACTTTTTAATGAAGTATCACTAGTGAGATCGATGAGTTGTTCTTGCTCATTTACATTCAGAGATGATGGCCCAGGAACATTTTGAATGGCTTTTTAATCCAATTAAATTTATCAAAATCATTGCAAAATTATTTTTCGAAATGAACTTTCAACATTATGAGATGATTAAGTAGGCAACTTTTATGTCCATTGGAAGCACTGGATTATCAGTGTCTTGTAACATTGACACCAGAGTAGGGAACATGTCTAGCGTGTCACTTTCCATACTGTTTTTCCAGAGCTCTAATTTTCTCATGAATGCCTTCACTTTGTCATTCCAAGAAAGTACAGTTGCCTCATTCCCTTGAAGTGAAGTGTTGAGGATATTTAGTTTCTCAAATATATCTGTGAGGTAAGCCATTTTCAATAAAAAATCCTTGTTGCTGAAACTGTCTGCCAGTGAGTGATTTTCTCCATTTAAAAAACAGAACACCTCATGCCTCAGCTGAAACATTCTCTTTAATACCTTGCCTCTTGAAAGCCATCGAGCATCGCTAAAAAACAACATAGCAGTGTGTTCGGCACCCATTTCCTCACACAGCATTTTAAAAAGTCTAGACTTCAGAGGATTTCAGAGGATGCGGCTGCTGCCGAACAATCAACGCTGTCTCTGGCATACGCGTTTTATAATTGCCGGCAAACAAAATAAGTATTGGTTATTTTGAAAGTCATGATAATTAAAGCCTGTACTCATCAAAAGTTTTTCT